AACTTGTTACTGAGGGACTCAGAATTGTTACTCAGGGGTACAGCAGGACACAGAATTGTTACTGAGGGACACAGAATTGTTACTGACACAGAATTTGTTACTCAGGGACACAGAATTGTTACTCAGGGACAGACACAGAATTGTTACTGAGGACACAGAATTGTTACTACTCAGGGACAGACACAGAATTGTTACTGAGGGACACAGAATTGTTACTGGGACACACAGAATGTTACTCAGGGACACAGAATTGTTACTGAGGGACACAGAATTGTTACCAGGGACACAGAATTGTTACTCAGGGACACAGAATTGTTACTCAGGGACACAGAATTGTTTAGAATTGTTACTCAGGACACAGGACACAGAAATCGTTGAATTCGTTGAATAAAGAGTATGTCAGACAACATGCAGAGGAGTGGCAGAGGAGGCAATGTTTTAGGAGCGAGCAGACGTGGCAGCAGAGGAAGGGGTCGAGGCAGCACTAGTCGCAGCCAGAGGCCAGTGCTCCCGGTGTCATCCAGCGGTCGTGTCTCCACCGACAACCCTGCCGTCATCGATTGGTTGGCTCGGTCGTCTTCCTCTTCCCAGGTCACCTCTGACACCTACAGCCAACGGTCGGTGGGTACGTCAGACACAACCGTTAGTTGGCATGGCCCGGGAGCAAGCCCACTGAAATCACGTGTCCTCTACCTGCCCCTGTCCTTTGGTGTTCCCTCACCAAGCGAAGTATCGCATGCTGTGGGCTCAGCCCCACTGTACAGTGAGGAAGAGCTAACAGAGGGCGGTCAGGAACGGGGGGAGACATCCGCCTCTTCAGCAGCCAGGCGAAGAAGTACTGGCGAGGAGAGTGGCTCGGTAGCCGGTCTAGAGACAGGTCTGTCTCCTGACCCACACGCAGCCGAGGGGGCTAGTAGTGAGGCGGAGACCCTAATTGATGATGATGAGGCTGATCGCACTTGGCAGCCTCGTCGTCATCAGGCTATTGCTTCCGCATCATCAGGAGAAGAGGGTGCCAGCTTGGCAGCGAGCAAAACAGTCGGTGGGTTGCCCAGGAGGCAGCAGGGTCGCAGCAGTGTCAGTGGAGGCAAACGGCCACGAGTAGAGCACCAGCTCCACTGCAGCCTACCACCACGGCCAGTAGTGGTGCCGGTGTGCACGGAGGAAGTAGCAGTCAGCCAGTGAGGAGTAGCGGGGGCAAAGTTTCCTACTCGGCGGTGTGGCAATTTTTCGTCAAGCCGCCCGAGGAAGTAAACGTAGCCGTATGTCGACTATGTGGCCAGAAAGTCAAGCGTGGCCAGGGGGCCCATGTTGGGACTACAGCGTTGCGGCAGCATATGCAGCGTCGCCATTTGGTGGCCTGGGAAAACCGTGATAAAGATACGGCGGTTCTGCCTGCCCCAGCCCCCGCTCCATCACCCGCTCCGTTACTTGCTCCGTCACCCGACGTCAATCGCCCTCTATCAGCCAGTCAAGGCTCCAACACCTCTGCTGAGGGGAGTTGTCGCTCGTTGGCATCTTCCGCTCGTTCAGATGCTCCTTCTCCTGCTACTCCTCTTCACGGATTCCGTCAGCAGTCTTTCTTGGAATCCGTTTCCAAGAGACAACAGTTTGCGAGCACGCACCCGACGGTGCAGAAGCTGAACGTCCTCCTGTCCAAGTTGCTGGTGCTGCAGTCCCTCCCTTTCCAAGTGGTGGACTCAGCACCTTTCCGAGAAATGATGGCTTGTGCCGCGCCGCGGTGGAGAGTGCCAAGCCGGCATTTCTTCGCCAAAAAGGCAGTGCCAGCCCTGCATTCACATGTAGAAGAGATGGTGGGCCAGTCTTTGAGCATGTCGGTCTCTGCCAAAGTGCACGGCAGCGCCGACGTGTGGAGCTGTAACTACGGTCAGGGACAGTACATGTCATTTACGGCCCACTGGTGAACGTGGTGCCGGCACAGCCGCACCAGCAACTTGGACAGGTCACGCCGCTTTTGCCTCCACGTTTGCACGTCCTTGGTCCGGCAAAGATGTCCGCCTCTACCACCACCTCTTCTTCCGCCGTGTCCTCAGCCGCCACCCCCCCCCGTGCCAAGTCCCATTACCCGACCGGCATATCACATGTGCAGGGCGCAACGGTGTCACGCTGTGCTGCACCTGGTATGCCTTGGCGAACGTAGTCACACAGGGGAGGAACTTCTGAGTGTAATGAACAGAGAAATCGACAGATGGCTGTCTCCGCGCAAACTGAAAATCGGAACCATGTTGACCGACAACGGAAAGAACATGGTGTCTGCTCTGCGTCAAGGAAGGTTGTGCCATGCGCCATGCATGGCTCACGTGTTCAATCTGGTTGTCAAGCGGTTCCTAAAATCCACCATCCCACTGCAAGACATCCTTAAAATGTCACGTAAACTTTGCATGCATTTCAGCCATTCCTACACCGCAAAGCACACCCTCCTTGAGCTGCAGCGGCAGAACGGAATTCCACAGCATCGCCTGATCTGCGACGTTGCAACAAGGTGGAATTCAACCCTACATATGTTAGACCGCCTTTACGAACAGCGAAAGGCCATCACCGATTTCCTGATGTTACAAGCGGATAAAGGTACTCCCCTGTGTAACTTCGATGTCAGCCATTGGCAGCTCATGCGTGACACCTGCCGCTTGCTCAGGCCCTTTGAGGAGGCCACGCTATTCGTGAGTCGGCAGGACTATGGGATGAACGACGTCATTCCTCTGTTGCACGTCCTGGAACAAATGCTGTTAACAATGGCTGGTCAGGGTGCGGTAGACGTGGCGCACAGATCTCAACGCCACATGACCCCTGTGGGGGCAGGACAGGAAGAAGAGGAGGAGGTAGAGGAGGACATTGGTGCTCAGGAATTATTGAGTGAAATGGGTGGTTTTTCCACTCAGCGGACAGGAGTGGAGGAGCAGGAGCATCTGGTAGAGGAGGAGGAGGAGAGAGACAGAGGACCCAGACGACGCACCGTGGCAGTATGCTGTGGAGATGGAGGCAGGGAGTCCCTCGCATTCCTTGGCACAAATGGCCCATAGCATGCTCGGTTGCTTGCGTAGCGACAGCCGAATAATAACCACCATCAGACAGAGGGATGACTTTTGGCTGTCCACCTTGTTGGACCCTCGCTACCGTTCAAAAATGGTGGCCTTTTTCACACCTGCTGAGAGGGAGGCCAAAATAACGTACTATAAAAACCACCTATGTAGTCAGTTGGTCTCTGCCTTTTCTGCGCCAACGTCCATCCTCAGACACTGTGGGCCCTGTGCGCTCGCGTTCCGCTGCCATGGCAGCAGGGGAGGGGTGGGGTGGTAGGAGCAGTGGCAGCTCCACCAGCAGCGGCTGCCACAGTCTGCAGTCGATGATGAGTAGCTTTCTTCACCAGCGCAGTGAGGAAACTACTAACCAGCCGCAGCAGCAGCAGCAGCAGCATCAGGTGGACCTGGAGCAGGACCTCAAACAACAGGCTTGGGCCTACTTGGACAGCACCCTGCCAACCGAGGTAGACAATCCCCTTGACTACTGGGCAACGAAACTTGACCTTTGGCCCCAACTAGCTGAATTTGCCCTTGAAAGGCTGTCATGCCCGGCCAGTAGCGTGGCATCGGAGCGCGTGTTTAGTGCGGCAGGAGGTATTGTAACTCCGCGGAGGACACGACTGTCCACCCAAAGTGTGGAGAGACTCACGTTTGTGAAAATGAATCAGGCGTGGATTAGTCTGGATTTCAAACCACCAGTTCCTGACACAACTGACTAAATCCGCCATGAATCATGCCCCAAAAACATGTGCCACTTTCAGGTCTCCTCACACTGCTGGTGTGTCCATTTTGTCATAGGGTGCTGGCAGATTACGGGCCTCCCATTGCTGCTGCCAGGCCCGTAATCTGCCATGGGCCCCTGTACCGCCTCCTCATGCTGCTGCCAGGTCCAGAGTCTCATGGGTCCCTGTACGGCCTCCCATTGCTGCTGTCTCCATCGCCACACTCTGCCATGTGCCACTTTCAGGTCTCCTCACACTGCTGGTGTTGTCCATTTTGTCATAGGGTGCTGGCAGATTACGGGCCTCCCATTGCTGCTGCCAGGCCCTGTAATCTGCCATGGGCCCCTGTACCGCCTCCTCATGCTGCTGCCAGGTCCACAGTGTCTCATGGGTCCCTGTACGGCCTCCCATTGCTGCTGTCTCCATCGCCACACTCTGCCATGTGCCACTTTCAGGTCTCCTCACACTGCTGGTGTGTGTCCATTTTGTCATAGGGTGCTGGCAGATTACGGGCCGCCCATTGCCCCATTGCTGCTGCCAGGCCTGTAATCTGCCATGGGCCCCTGTACCGCCTCCTCATGCTGCTGCCAGGTCCACAGTGTCTCATGGGTCCCTGTACGGCCTCCCATTGCTGCTGTCTCCATCGCCACACTCTGCCATGTGCCACTTTCAGGTCTCCTCACACTGCTGGTGTGTCCATTTTGTCATAGGGTGCTGGCAGATTACGGGCCTCCCATTGCTGCTGCCAGGCCCGTAATCTGCCATGGGCCCCCGTACCGCCTCCTCATGCTGCTGCCAGGTCCAGAGTCTCTCATGGGTCCCTGTACGGCCTCCATTGCTGCTGTCTCCATCGCCACACTCTGCCATGTGCCACTTTCAGGTCTCCTCACACTGCTGGTGTGTTCCATTTTGTCATAGGGTGCTGGCAGATTACGGGCCTCCCATTGCTGCTGCCAGGCCCCGTAATCTGCCATGGGCCCCTGTACCGCCTCCTCATGCTGCTGCTGCCAGGTCCAAGTGTCATGGGTCCCTGTACGGCCTCCCATTGCTGCTGTCTCCATCGCCACACTCTGCCATGTGCCACTTTCAGGTCTCCTCACACTGCTGGTGTGTTCCATTTTGTCATAGGGTGCTGGCAGATTACGGGCCTCCCATTGCTGCTGCCAGGCCCGTAATCTGCCATGGGCCCCTGTACCGCCTCCTCATGCTGCTGCCAGGTCCAGAGTGTCTCATGGGTCCCTGTACGGCCTCCCATTGCTGCTGTCTCCATCGCCACACTCTGCCATGTGCCACTTTCAGGTCTCCTCACACTGCTGGTGCTGTCCATTTTGTCATAGGGTGCTGGCAGATTACGGGCCTCCCATTGCTGCTGCCAGGCCCGTAATCTGCCATGGGCCCCCGTACCCGCCTCCTCATGCTGCTGCCAGGTCCAGAGTCTCTCATGGGTCCCTGTACGGCCTCCCATTGCTGCTGCTCCATCGCCACACTCTGCCATGTGCCACTTTCAGGTCTCCTCACACACTGCTGGTGTGTTCCATTTTTTCATAGGGTGCTGGCAGATTACGGGCCTCCCATTGCTGCTGCCAGGCCCGTAATCTGCCATGGGCCCCCGTACCGACTCCTCATGCTGTGACGTTGCAACAAGGTGGAATTCAACCCTACATATGTTAGACCCCTTTACGAACAGCGAAAGGCCATCACTGATTTCCTGATGTTACAAGCGGATAAAGGTACTCCCCTGTGTAACTTAGATGTCAGCCATTGGCAGCTCATGCGTGACACCTGCCGCTTGCTCAGGCCCTTTGAGGAGGCCACGCTATTCGTGAGTCGGCAGGACTATGGGATGAACGACGTCATTCCTCTGTTGCACGTCCTGGAACAAATGCTGTTAACAATGGCTGGTCAGGGTGCGGTAGACGTGGCGCACAGATCTCAACGCCACATGACCCCTGTGGAGGCAGGACAGGAAGAAGAGGAGGAGGTAGAGGAGGACATTGGTGCTCAGGAATTATTGAGTGAAATGGGTGGTTTTTCCACTCAGCGGACAGGAGTGGAGGAGCAGGAGCATCTGGTAGAGGAGGAGGAGGAGGAGACAGAGGACCCAGACGCACCGTGGCAGTATGCTGTGGAGATGGAGGCAGGGAGTCCCTCGCATTCCTTGGCACAAATGGCCCATAGCATGCTCGGTTGCTTGCGTAGCGACAGCCGAATAATAACCATCAGACAGAGGGATGACTTTTGGCTGTCCACCTTGTTGGACCCTCGCTACCGTTCAAAAATGGTGGCCTTTTTCACACCTGCTGAGAGGGAGGCCAAAATAAAGTACTATAAAAAACCACCTATGTAGTCAGTTGGTCTCTGCCTTTCTGCGCCAACGTCCATCCTCAGACACTGTGGGCCCTGTGCGCTCGCGTTCCGCTGCCATGGCAGCAGGGGAGGGGTGGGGTGGTGGTAGGAGCAGTGGCAGCTCCACCAGCAGCGGCTGCCACAGTCTGCAGTCGATGATGAGTAGCTTTCTTCACCAGCGCAGTGAGGAAACTACTAACCAGCCGCAGCAGCAGCAGCATCAGGTGGACCTGGAGCAGGACCTCAAACAACAGGCTTGGGCCTACTTGGACAGCACCCTGCCAACCGAGGTAGACAATCCCCTTGACTACTGGGCAACGAAACTTGACCTTTGGCCCCAACTAGCTGAATTTGCCCTTGAAAGGCTGTCATGCCCGGCCAGTAGCGTGGCATCGGAGCGCGTGTTTAGTGCGGCAGGAGGTATTGTAACTCCGCGGAGGACACGACTGTCCACCCAAAGTGTGGAGAGACTCACGTTTGTGAAAATGAATCAGGCGTGGATTAGTCTGGATTTCAAACCACCAGTTCCTGACACAACTGACTAAATCCGCCATGAATCATGCCCCAAACATGTGCCACTTTCAGGTCTCCTCACACTGCTGGTGCTGTCCATTTTGTCATAGGGTGCTGGCAGATTACGGGCCTCCCATTGCTGCTGCCAGGCCCGTAATCTGCCATGGGCCCCTGTACCACCTCCTCATGCTGCTGCCAGGCCCGTAATCTGTCATGGGTCCCTGTACGGCCTCCCATTGCTGCTGTCTCCATCGCCACACTCTGCCATGTGCCACTTTCAGGTCTCCTCACACTGCTGGTGTGTTCCATTTTGTCATAGGGTGCTGGCAGATTACGGGCCTCCCATTGCTGCTGCCAGGCCTGTAATCTGCCATGGGCCCCTGTACCGCCTCCTCATGCTGCTGCCAGGTCCAGAGTGTGTCATGGGTCCCTGTACGGCCTCCCATTGCTGCTGTCTCCATCGCCACACTCTGCCATGTGCCACTTTCAGGTCTCCTCACACTGCTGGTGGGTTCCATTTTTGTCATAGGGTGCTGTATGGCCTCCCATTGCTGCTGCCTCCACCGCCACACTGTGGCTCCACACTCTGGTTTTGGCCCCGTGACTGCCCAAATGAGTGAAGTGCGCGGTGATTCTAAGATCGACGGCACTCATCTGCATGTCATACTGACTGACAGTATTATTTCTCTTCCCCAGCAGACTCCAAGGGCATTTAAATTAAAGGTACAGTGTTCTGCACTAATATAAAGGCTCTCTGAAGCCTAGAAACACCCTTTTATAAGTTAAGTTCGCAGCAAATATATTCGCCTCGAATCGAATTTATTCCTCGAATTCGCCGAATCAGCCGAATCGAATTTTTGAATACTTCGCTCATCTCTAATAGTTACCGTATATACTCGAGTATAAGCCGACCCGAATATAAGCCGAGGTACCTAATTTTACCACAAAAAACTGGAAAAAACTATTGACTCGAGTATAAGCCGAGGGTGGGAAATGAGGCACCTACTAGTCAATGTAAAAAATTGGTGTCAGTGGGAGGAATAGTGCCCCATCATTGGTATCAGTGCGAGGAATAGTGCCCCATCGTTGGTGTCAGTGGGAGGAATAATGCCCCATCATTAGTAAGCAGTGGGAGGAATAGTGCCCCATCGTTGGTGTCAGTGGGAGGAATAATGCCCCATCATTAGTATCAGTGGGAGGAATAGTGCCCCATCATTGGTATCAGTGAGAGGAATAGTGCCCCATCATTAGTATCAGTGGGAGGAATAGTGCCCCATCGTTGGTGTCAGTGGGAGGAATAATGCCCCTTCATTAGTATCAGTGGGAGGAA